AATGCCTTTCTAATACATGTGAGGAAGTGCATACTGTAGCAACGAGTGCAATCCTGGAATCATACACTAGGATGCTAGATGCCTTAGAAAATATTGCCGAAGACCAGACACAGAAAGGAGATACCAAAAGAGAAGCTGAAAGCATCACCAACAAAATGCAAACACTCGAGTATGAATTCATGTTGGTTATGTGGAATAATATATTACAGCATTTTCATTGGACGAGTCAAGCTCTCCAAGATTCGGAAGTAAACTTACAGATGTGCACAGATCTCTACCAGTCATTGACAGGGTATTTACATAATTTAAGAGGAGACTTTGAAAATTTTGAAAACACAACAAAACAGATACTGCCACATACTGATTATCAAGCAGTTCACCATCGCAGAAGCATTAGAAAGGAGCAAGGAAATGGCGGAAGTGCTTCAGAAGCATCGCTGAATGTCAGAGATCAATTTCGTGTACCACATACTACGCCATCATTGACACACTTGAATCTTGCATGAAAAGAAGGGCAGAAGGGTATGAAATTCTTTCAAATAGATTTTCCTTCTTAAGCAATGTGCATATCCCTGATGAAGAATGCATGAAGGCATCCAAGAAATTAGTACAGGCTTATCCTGATGACTTAAATACAAACCTTTATGGAGAAGTGGGACAATTTCATTCTTATATGAGAATTAAATTTACAGATTCCAGAAAGGCAAATTTTACTCATGTGGGCATGTATGCTACCATAATGGAAGCTGGAATATAATGCATATTTCCAAATGTTGAAATTGCTTTACTCATATTCCTAACTTTAATGGTCACAAACTGCACAACAGAATGCTCATTTTCGTCCCTAAAGAGACTCAAAAACCCTCAGTGTGCAGCATTTCAAGAAAGACTCGATTCATTATCCTTATTATGTATGGAAGTAGATATTGTTTGGCAACTTAATAGTGGTGAATCACTGAAAAATTTTTAAGAGCAAAGGATAGAAAGAAATGTTTTTAATTATAACATGTTAGAGATGAAAGATCTAGCTAACTATGAAACAGTAATTTGTTATTTTTGCTGTCTGGTCATTAAATTTTCTTTTAGTACAAAAAAAAAATGAACTATTTAGGGATAAATTTAATGAAGTGTGTGTAAAACATGTAGATGGGAAATATAAAATATTGCTAAGAGAAATTACATACTAAAATTAATTTAAAGATATAGTCTGTTCATGTATTAGGAGGCTTAATTTTGTTTTGATGTCATTCTCTTAAGTTGAACATAATTCTGATAAAAATCTCAGTAAATTGATTTTTTGTAAATATTGACAAAGTAATTTTGAAATCTGTCAGGAGATGCAAAGGACCCAGAATAAGGAAAACATTTTGGAGAGGAGGTGTTTATTAATGTATTTATAGAAGCAATGTTGCTGGTTAGCATCAAGTCAGTTCTCATTCCAGCTGACCTGTGTCTAACACAATAAAATGCTGTCTGGTCCCATGCTATCGACTTGATCACTGATATGTGTGAGGTCATTGTTATGCCTACTGTGTCAACACATCTCCTTGAGAGTTCCTTGATTTTTGCTAGCCCTCTACTTTACTAAACATGATATCCTTTTCTAGTGATTGGCTTTGCTGATGATATGACCAAAGTTGTTGTTGTTAGGTGCCCTTGGTCGGTTCCCCTTCAGAGGGACCCTACACAGAACAGAATGAAACAGAGCCTGGTCCTGCACCATCCTCACAATTTTTGCTGTTTGAGACCCATGTTGCAGCCTCTCTGTGAATTCATCTTGTTGAGTGTCTTCCTCTTTTTCACTGACCCTCCCATTTACCAAGCCTGATGTCCTTCCTTAGGGACCAGTCCTTCCTGATAATACATGCAAAGTATGTGAGATGAAGTCTTGTCATTCTCACTTCTAAGAAGCATTATGGTTGTACTTTTTCCAAGACAGATTTATTCATTTTTCTGGCAATCAATGCTATATTCAGTATTCTTCTCCAAAAACATAATTGAAAGGCATAAACTCTTCTTCAGTCTTCCTTGTTTATTGCCCAGCTTTCATGTGCATATGAGCACACACAAAATACCATGGTGTGGGTCAAGAGCACTTTAGTCCTCAAAGTGACATCTTTGCTTTTTAACACTTAAGGCAGTTCTTTTGCAGATTTTTCCCAGGGCAACACATTGATTTCTTGATTGCTGCTTCAATGGGTGTTGATTCTGGATCCAAGTAAAATGGAATCCTTGACAATTTCAATATTCTCTCTGTTTATCATAGTGTTGCCTATTTGCCAATTTATAGGGATTTTTGTTTTCTTTATGTTAAGATGTAATCCATACTGAGGGCTATAGCTGTAGTATTTGATCTTTTTCAGTAAGTGTTTCAAGTCTTCTTCACTTTCAAGTAAGATTATGTCTTCTGCATATTGCAGGTTGTTAATGAGTCTTTCCTCTGATCCTGATACCACACTCTTCTTTATATAGTCTAGTTTCTC